AGAGAAGGAGGGAGGGTGGGAGAGATGGGGAGGGTGGGAGAGAGAGTTTTTTGGATGAGGGATCTGTGTGACCCTGTCTCAGAAGTAAGAGATGATGCCGGCGGCCTCGTGATTGTTGTAATGACAAGCACAGGGACACGCAGGGATTCAGACGTTAAACCGTGTGCGTGTAAAGTGAGGAGGAAAAGCGGACTTCTGCTCTGTATGACTCTGCTCTTGTTTATTTTCTGCAGGCAGTGTAGCTCCACAGCTTCCAACAGTGTTTCTCTTCCACAGCCCACTCTAATGTGTGGGCAATACAGAGGGATCTGCAGATAGATCATTCTGTAGAGGCTGCTCACTGCCATACGGACACTTCCACTGATAAATAACTGGCTGATACAGTTATCTACAGACAGGGATGGATGCCATATAGGGACCCAGCTGCATGAGGCCCAGCTTCTGTAGATTGGATTTCAAATATTTGATCTCAGGCAGTGATTCCAAGTACGGAATTAACAATCACTGAGTGATTCAGTTTAAAAAATGGCCCCTTTCCGCTCCGGGCAGGCAGGTTTGCAGCATCTGACCTCACACTGGAGAGGCTCCAAGCAGCAGGTGGGCCTCGTTTGACTAAAAGGAGCCAGTGTCCATGACAAATAATGCTCCTTTCTTGCGTGCAGTGACTTCCAAGCCTCAAAATTCTTCTCGTTTTAAAGACCTGCGCACCCACACAGGTGTTTTCAGTTATTCTGGCTAATTAGACCTCTGTGACACCCGTTACGAGCCTTTATTAAATCATTCATGTACCTGTTCAATACCAGTGTCCCGGTCCCGCCAAAATACTCAACCCTTCTCCTGTGATTTTAGTTTTCCAGAATAGGAGTAAGGATGGCAGGAGAAAATAGAGAGGAAGATGAATGAATCATTTAAGATCTGTAGGAGAAAAAGAAAATATATATAGGCTATTGATCTTGCTTGCTTTAAAGCTGCAGTAGGTATTTTTTATCAAAATAACTTTTTGTCATATTCCCTGAAACTTTCACTTTATCCTGACAGTAGACCATGAGACAGATAATGTGTGAAACAATCAGCTTCCTCTGGCTCCTCCTAGTGCTCCTAATGGGATTTGCCTGCAAAACCTGCAAAATGACCTACTGCAGCTTTAATACATGTATGGGTGAAATTGGCTATTTAATTTGACATATATATGTAAGTGTAACCTCACTTTGTGTTTGGACATGTGTGTAATAAACTAACTTGTATGCCACAGATGGCAAACTGACTGTGCAGGTCTCGGTGAGGTACGGCACATGGCCTCAGAGCAGTTTGTAGGAATCAGCGGGGTGCACTGCATGGCCGCAGGCTACAGTGGAGCACAGCACATACAGGAAACCCCTTGGATTAAAGCCATTCTGTGGACTGTCTAGTGCAAAATACAGACAACAGTTGGTAGGATCCAGCATTTTCAGGTAGTGCCCAAAATAGTGCCTGCTGAACTCAGTGGAGTACATTATGTACAAAAGCACATCACAAAATAACCTTTAGGCTACAGTGAAGTGCACTTCAGTTGGAAGCCCCTCTCATACAGAGGACAGGCAAACCCTCAAACTGGTTTTTATAGGAAACAGCCGGCAGCTTGCAGCACACACACAGTTGTGCACCAAATGAGAGCCAATCCTCAGTGGATTGCAGTGCATACACAACTGAAGCTAAAGATTCTGTAGGTGGAAGAGGCACTAGCCTGACAATACATGCAGCTTACAGCACAGTCATCTATACATTGTAATTGTTGCATACAGTACGATATA